CCAACTTTACAGCAGAAAAAACATGTTTACAGCCTGGTTCAAAAAATGATTTTGGTTTATATAGCTAATTTTGCCCTTCATGACAACTGTGAGGGGGGTGAATTTTTTTATAACTCATCCGTTTAAATTATATTAAGCCTTAAAGTTCTGCATAATTAAGGGCGTGGCCACTTGAGTGACAGGTGGATTGCCGCTGCTGTCACCGGCGTCGAGCTAGGTGGGCGTGGTTTCAGCAACCAGCTCCCGCCCCTTTGCCCATTTTCGATTATCCGGGAGTGACGTGCAGCCAAGATGGCGATGGCCGGCTCCGCCCACTTTGAGCTTCAAAAACGCTCTTCAGAAATCTACGGGTGACGTCACGGACACTACGTCCATGTTTTTATACAGTCTATGGTTCTCATTAGTGAATTTAGTGGGCAAAAAGAGAGGTATATTGTCTACAGTGTAGCAATATATGAAGCACAGTTCACATAGAAGTGACTTTCAAACCCAGCAGCCTGTTCTTTTGAGTCTAACCTTGTCCATTCTGTCTTTCTCAACTCCAAATTTCCCTCCATAGCCGTAAGAGGCTTTAGGGCCCTGGTCCAGCTCTTTCTTCTTAACCACCTCGTGTTCCCGAGACACATTCTGCCTGAGATCTGCAATGCTACACACAAACACAGGCACATTGCATGTTACTACATGCTGCATATTACCACATGCTGCATATTACCATGGAATGTAATGGCACTTTTGTTATGCACTCAACCCTTTGCACTTGTTTATGGTGCTTCTCATTTATATTTTTTAACATTATTACTGTAAATAATACAGATGTATCTTATATTAAATGCAGTGTGTCAGTGCAACATCTTATTCCGCTTCTGACATGATGTAGGCTTGAAATGATCAGTCCATATTTGGAAATGCAACTCATGTCGGCAGCATTTCTACTTCCTATTTCCTCTCTGCAGAGAGTCACTCTTTTTAGCAGTGCTTTCAGTTCAATGCAACATGGTGCCATTAAAGCAACCTGCTATATTATTATACTATCTCAAATCTGTAGATCTTTTCAACTTTTCTATAACATGTAGCATCTCTAACTGTTACCTGATGTGTTCTTTTCGACCTGATCCTTCTATGGTTCTGGAACCCCATCTCTGCTCCTGCTCCGATACATCATTCTGATACACAGACACATTTTCATTTATACAATAATAATAAATAATAAAATGTGTTATGTTTTAAGAAAACCTAACTCTAAACAACTCATTTAGATTAGCACCTTGCATTTATTTTCAGGTCTGCTTACCTCAAAATTCGGATCTGTTTCCCAGTCGTCCCCCTCCGATTCAACCTTCACATTAACATCATGTCCCACCACAGATTTCCACATCTGTAGAAAGAGACAAACAAAGATTTCATGGCTCATGTTACACAACTATACAGAGTATTGAATGCATTATGCTCAAAATGCATCAATAAACAACAAATATTTACGGATACAGTATGATGCATGAATAAATGTATCACTAAGTGACTGATTCTAATCATCTTGTAGTAAACTTGCAAGTTGACTATTTTACAACTGCTCTGCTGTGTCATCAAGCGAGTAAAACATCAGGTACACAGCTTGAAGTTGTAATTCTACATATTTTTAAGTAATTCCACATTTTTTAGATGTTTATGGTAATCTAGAATACCTAGAATGTCTTCATAAACAAAACAAGTGTTAATGCACTTTGCAAGTTCCTCATTTTTCTAGAACGTCAGATGGAAATGTTTACACGTTCACGACTAAAAAGCTTCACACTTTAATTTCAACAATAACCAAGACCATGAACACTGTAATGCAAGCACAGTAACGTACAGATAATGTACAGAAATATATAACTTTGACTTCCTGAAACGAAAAAAGTTTTGGCAACTTGCGATGTATCAACCACTTCCTGATTAAAAGCAGATGCGTTTTTCTTGATTCATCGTTATTAATAATATGAGCAGATAACAATGGTTACTCACGTTTTAATGCTTTTTTCCCGGCGTTTTGTCCGTTAAATGTTAATTTCAGGGTGAGGCGAACGGCAGATCAGACCTGCGCTCGAATGACTGCAGAAGAAGAAGCGGCGGACACGCGTTCACGCGCAGCTGAGTCCTACCTGTGCATTGTTGACCCGTTAAAGCATAGAAATACACTAAAATACTCATCTTAATTTTTTTAGTTAGTCCAAATACCTCAAAACACAGATTAATTAATATGTAATATAAGCATTATGATTCTTGTATTTATGAAATTGTGTGTTTGCAAACACAATATTTAATAAATACAAGATTCTGAACAGATTCTGAACCATAGGTGGTTGCTGGGGAATGGTGGTGGTTTTCCTGGATGGTTGGGTCGTTTTGCGCATTTGCTAGGATGTTTTGGGTGGTTGCTAGACCACTGGTAGACGATCACTGTTGTTTGGAGTGGTTGGTGAAGCATTGGGGTTAGTTTTCACCATTGGTAAGTTTGCTAGTGCGTTTTTAAGTTGCTTTATGAAGTCAGCCCATCATAAAGTCTCTCTATGACCTTGTCCTCGTCTCTGGATGTGTGGGGATCCTTTTCAATGCTAATTTCAATGCTACTTTATTAAAGTAGAATCACCAGTCTAATTTGGGATTTATTTTCATTTACAGTGGTGGCCAAAATGATTAGAACACTAGTATTTTCACCAGCTAAAAAATGTTTTTAAGTCAGTTATTTCTATCTTTTGCTGTAGTGTGTCAGTATCCGTTCACATTTCCAAACATTCATTTTGCCATTCATAGTAATAATCCAGTGAGATTTTTGTTTGCACAAGAAGTCTGACAGCAGACAGTGCTCCACACAGAGATCTGATCATCATCATCAGTCTGTCTGGAATGACATGAAGAAACGGAACAAACTAAAACAGACTAAATCCAGAAGAACTGTGGCAACGTCTCCAAGATGCTTCAAGAAACCTACCTGCAAAGCTACCTGAAAA